AATGCATTTTTTCATTATGAAGCTTCATACTTACATAAATACCCGTGCGTGTATGTATATATATATATATATATATATATATATATATATATATATATACACACACACACATATATATATATATATATATATATACACACACACACACACTACTAAAGAAGAACCAACTATGTTGGTATGGCCAGAAAAACATACCAGAAGACCTAGCACTTTAGACAAGAAAAAATCCTGAACACTGAAAGAAAAAAGAGGCCAAAAAGCAAATACCTACCTACTCAGTAAAGTGCTCAACACCAAAAAAACACTTCACATCAGCACTTAACAAAGGAAAGCCTGAATCATACTCAAGTTTCATGGTCTTGCAATCTTCAAATGACTAGAATGCCCTACTCACCATAAGATCACGAGATCATGTAACTTGATTAATGACTCAAACTGGCTTTTGTTTTTATATATATATATATATATATATATATTATTACCACTAATTTGTATCTAAGTGGGTATTCACTATTATAAATGAGATGGCAGGAGTTTCTATTTGGGTTTCATTGTTAAGTAGTGAATATGTTGTTATTGGATTTTATGAGAACGTCTTGGAATGGAATTTTATTGTTATTGGTAAGTTTGTAAATAAATTTCAAAATAAAGATTTTTTTTTTTTTCAGCTGTGTTTTTCATTTTAAATTTCTTTTTTATTACTGGCTAAAGTGAAAATATATAAATGTTAGGGTTTTGTGGTTACTGACTAACTATTGTCAGGGTTGACAAGAGGTGTGACATGTTTTCACAGTTATTAAAAAGTGCTTTCCACAATGTACTCACTCAATCTCTTCATTAATGATGGTGACATACCAGTGACATTTTCTGGCAATTGAACAGAATGTAAGTTGTGGATTCATTTCTGCCTCAAAGTTATTAGTGCAGAGGCAGTTAGTGTTACTGTTATCTGATGAAATTTAAACTTCTGTTTTTGATGATAAATGGTTATACTACCCTGTGGGTGTGTGTATATATATATATATATATATATATATATATATATATATATATATATTCATATATCTTCGGTTTTAACCAAATTCACCCCATGCAAGGCAGTAGAGCAACTGAGAGACAAGGGGTTACTGGGTGTGAAAGTTTTAGAAACAGAAAGATTGTTAAGCTTAGTTCAAATTCCTGTCAAGTTTGTTACATTCACTTATACACAATTACCGTTTGGGGAAAAGCATGATTTTATCTCACACTTTCAGTAAATCTTTGTCTGCCAGGTAAAGAAAATATGCCTTCTGACAGAGCTCAAACCTGCATTTTCTTTGTAAGATCTAAAAGTACTGTGTACTTAATGGAGTGCTTCTTAACCACTCGGCTACAGAAGACTTTCAGAGTAAAGTAATGTTCAGTAACCCTATTTAAGTAATGCACATCTTGATCAGATCTCTCAAAGCCTGTATTTGATAACTTTTCATTTAGTATCTGAAACTTAAATGATTGAACAGTGAAAATATTGAGGTTTAAAGGCACAGTGGGCTGAATGATGGTTTCCCCTTACAAATTGGATGCAGATTTGGAACCTGCCAGAACACACATTTGGTTTGAGAATACATTGGTTGGTAGACATAGATTTATCCTATCCCCCCAACTTAAAAAAAGCAAATGAGAGATGTCTACCCAAACACATGTATTCACTGTATATAACATTTAAAGTCATAAAGTGTATGTATGTATATATATATATATATATATAACACATTGGTGTTAATAAAACAGTGTTTAATGTGTAAGAGATAAAATTTATACTAATAAAAAAATGTTTCCCATCAAAAAAAATATATATATATAATTAGCTGATTCTGCTACTTTGGTTTCAACCTTTTAGTATCTTTAGGTGATTTCAGTCTGTTTCCTGGTCTAGTTCAACTCTGACCATTAACTTCTTTATTTTCATATATATATATATATATATATATATATATATATATATACATTATTTACTTTTGATTACAGCTTTGTTTTTGATATAATTCTCATCACTTGAAAACCTTTTACTGCTTTAGCTAAAGTTGTGCTTTCATTTCATGTTTTTGGAGTATTTTAGCCAGTGGGTGGTTGTAGGAAATAATGTCATAAAATATGCTTTGTTAAAATAGTGAGGAAAAAGTCATCGGAAATACTCAAAATTTTACTTTATGTGTAGGGGAGGGGATAAGAAATGAATTATTTTCATTTAAAATTAAATAGATATTTTAATTTATTTAAGGAAATAATTTGTATTTAATTTGCAATAATGGAATAAGTAATATTTTATTTAAATAAATATTTATTCTAAGTCTTAGCAATTAAAGTAATATTTTAATAAATTTGTTCACTGAACTGCTGAATGTCTGTACTAAAATCATCATATCCACTCTTCAATTTATTTTATTACTTTTTCAATATTGGTTGATTGATTCATTTTCTACGGCTGATCAATTTTTGTAGATTATTTAAGGCCAGAAAATATTTTTAAACTGTAATTTTTTAAAAATAATTACGTGTTTTAGTGATACTAATAGCTGGGGGAAAAGAGATGGATTAATACCTTCCCCACGGGTATTTACACATTAGTGAATATAACAAAGCCAACAGGAATTGGAATTTGGCTCTCCGATTAACAATTCAAAACAATTATCCATTGCACCACCTGCACATCCAAACTTACAGCACCTGGTTCTCCTATGCTTATTGAGAACTTAACACAAAGACTGCTGGATTGAAAAACGTTATGTTCCAAAATTAAACAGATTGACAGACAGATGTTTTTGGGAAATATTTTTTTTTTTTAGTTGTTGTAAATTGTCAGGAAAAAACTGACCCTGAACTTTCATGGTTTTTTTTTTTTTTTTTATTCAGATGTCAAATTTCCGTAATATTTGAAGAGAGTAAGTTCATAAAAAAACGATTTGGTAAAATTTCTTCTTTTAAAAATAAAATTTTTGCTAATTGTCTTATCATTGTTAAATTCTTATGCAAATTGAAATCTTACACCCACAAATAAATCTAATATTTTTGTCCTCTCTTAACATTTTTCTGTAACAGTTATCTCCCTTGCACCGTCGACGCCATATCGCAAACTCTTTTTGACTGTCCGAAATTATTTATGAAGAAACCGGCAGGTCAAGAGTTCGCAAAATGGCAAAAATAGAACAATTAGTGAAAACCTTAAGGACTTAAAATAATACAGTCATTTTTTTTATTTTTATTTGACGTCTGTGGGTAGTGGTGTCACCTTGTGTAGTAGTTTTTAAAAATTAAGAAAAGATTCGGTTAAACAAAAACAAAATGATTTCTTTTTTTTTTTTTTTTTTTGAGTCCGGTTCTTTCGAAAAACTCACTTTTGGTAAAATGAAGAGTTTTTTAAAAGCAGAAACGATCGAAGTGATTTTAAAAATAGGAGCTCAATTAATGTACGTATCAAGTCGAATTGGACCAGGACAACATGACTACTAATGTTCAATTTTTAATTTAAACATACTACTAAACTGGACCCTGTCTTTGTGTCCGATAGGAGTCGATCTTGGCTAACATAAAAAAAAATATTAGTCGATGCAGAAAAGTAAAAAAAAAAAAAAAAATACTCTACAGTTGGGACAGTATAGGGAACCATTGTATACTGTATTAAAAAAATGAAGCTTTTGGGGTTGTCTTTTGTGAGCTGTTTGATAGTATTGAAGAAGTTGACATCTAGAAGATAACGACGAGTTCCATGCTGGTAAGAAAGGGAACTAACCGAATTTGCTTATGTCAAAATTTCGTTAATTCCTATCAATTTTTCTTTTACTGTTTTAAGAAACTCTTTCCATAGAAATACAGATTGTAATTCAATAAAAATCAGAATACAGAAAAAAAAAAAAAATGTAATGACCATATTTTCGTAAAAACAGACACCGATGCGGACGGAAAGTTAGGGTTCAGTTCAGCAGTATTGTCAATTCGACGTTATAGTGTTGGACACAAAGTCAAGGTCCATTTTGACATTATATGTACATGGTAAATCAGACCCCTACTTTAGAAACACTTTGCTTGCTTTTAATTCTAAACTTATTTTCTCGAAAGGGAACAACAGCCCACAACCAAAAATAAACTTCTTTTCCTGAAGTAAAAAGAGCATAGCAAAGATTATTACAAAAAATAGATTATCTAAAGAAAAATAATAGATTCCTGGGATGAGGAAAATTTACTTTCTGACTATTGTCCTTCTTCTTACCTTATCTTTGTTCTCTGAAGATTACACGAAATGTTATCAGATAACAAAGATTAGGACAATAATCCGAATAAAAATGTAATTTTATTTTTAAATTAACCTTAGCTTTTAAATTTTAGATGTGATTATTATTTTTGCTTCACATCTGCTTAGCTTAGACTACAAAAAAAAATCACTTCTAAAAAAAACTCTGTAGAGATTAATTAGTGACTAATTAATAATATTTAATTTATTACTGTTCTTTTAGTAGTTGACTCTAACGATTATCAACTTATTTTGCAGTTGAAATTTAACTCGGCAATTAAAAATTTCAGCCAGAGATAATACAAACGATCCATTATTTTTAAAATTGGATTTTTTTTAACCATAAGTTAAGTAGTAAGTAAACTAAATAAAGTTTGTTTTTAACATATTTTCCACTATCCTCTTCAAGACCATAGAAGAGGGTTTTTTTGTTTTGTAATAAAGAAGAAAAAAGTTAAGTATTAAAGTGAATTGTTTCGCACTGATATTTTTTAATTAAATTACATCTCAGAAAAATTTGGGGGCGAGGTATTTGCTTTCTGCAATGTTTGAATTAAAGATAATTTCTGTATATTCGTTTTTCTGTCTTTTCCACTCCCGCCAAGACATTCCACACGATGTTTGAGGATTTTTTTTTAATGTATGAAATATGCCAGCCTCTCAAGAACAAGGTGAAGGGTTGATGATTCTGTGTCATTCTACTTTGACAGTTTTTTTTTCTTTCAAAATGTAGCCAATCATGTCGCATTTGTCATTTACTGCTATTCTCACTTCTTCCCGCTTTTCTTCTTCTTGGCCTCTTCCCAAATTTAACATCCCTTTCCTTTTCTTTCAAATCTTAATAATCCGTTACCTCTTCTCTCCTCCTGCCATTCCTTACATCTGGTTAATGACTTGCATATATACGTTAAGTACCGCTTTCTGTCCCATATTCATCGCACTATAGTACTTAAAATGTGTATATACAAATGTAACAATTGTTATGGGACAGCTACCATACTTTTTATTTATTTTATTTATCCAGCCATAAGATCTCTTTCTTATATGATTTTTTTTAGTCTGTCTCCGAAGTTTTATTTATTTTTGGTCATGAATTGCGTGGCAGAATTAATTACAAACGACAGTTGCACATTTCTTTCTATTTTCTCATCAAATGAATAAAAATGCTGTGGGACGATTTTGTTTTTATCTTCATACAAAAACCGAACCCATTGCACATAACTACTGCTATTCACGACTACTTACTAAAATTCTTAACTGAACATCAGTAACGGTAGAAGAAGCATCAGTGCCAGTCTGTGTCTCCCCCGGCATGCACCCCCACCGCATCACCCTCATCCAACCCCGCCGACTTCGCTCGAATCTCTGGTAGTCTAACACACGTAGACAGGCACAGAAAGATAATACGTGTTATTGATAAACTATTGATTTTAAAAGGGTTGTTATTCGTGCATGTGTGGTGACTGAAGGAAAAGAAAATTTGTGGAGGTCGGAGTGTGCGACGTTGCTATTACGTTCTGGTAGTCCTTTTTCATCGTGCCCCCCCCCTTTTCTCTTTTAGCTTTCTTTGTACTAATTTGCTTCTCATTCCTTGTAATGTAACAATATCAAACTGCACCCGCAAAATTCTTCAGACGTATCTCCTCTCTCTACGAAACCGTGACTCAGTCTGTCTCTAGTCTGGGCCTTATCTTCACTGAATAAAAATAAAATAGACAACAATCCTTCATGAATACATGCAGATTAAAGGAGAAAAAGATATTTTTCTTAATTTTTTTAGTTTTTAATTATGGATGTCAGATTAAAAAATAAATCCACACACACACAAATAATAATAAATATACTATACATTTTTTCCTCACTTGTAGCACAGTTATTTTATTAGCACCAGAAGCTTTGTTTGAGGAAAAAGGGGGAAAATTTTTCCTTATGGAATACACCTAAGGGCTGAAGATTGGATCAGCCTAAAATATTAACAACATGAAAGATATGTATGCAGAAGAAGCTGATCTAAAAGTCTCTGATTCAACCCTAGGTTTTGCCACTCTGTACTGGTCAATGGGACCCCACAACACATAAAAATTCTCTTGCTTTCATTGCAACTTTGTTGACCAACAGCATTGAGTCTTCTGACAGCAAGATGTAAGTCAGTGTAAGTCATGGTCCCCCTGATGACATATCTACTAGCCCTAGCACATCAAACGACTCATCTGAAGAGAATTGTACCATCTCTCTACAAAGAAGCATGTGCCAGAAGAAGCCAAGAATAAGGTAGTCTTCTATGTAAAAGTTAAAGACTGCCCCACAACAATGAAGCACATGGTAAAAAAGGCCAGCACCTGGCTGCCATTTTTGTGATAAATAGTTCAAGATAGTGTGCAGAAGTTGATTGGTGGGCGAGTGGATTTGCAGTTATTTGGACTTAGATCTCTGTGAATTTGTGCAACAATATGAAGATGTTCGATTGTCCAAACGATGTTTAGAATGTTAATGACTCTTTTCAAAGCTAGAGACAAGCAAACTGCTTTTGGCAAGCATTGACTTTTGTGCCCGCCAGAAAAATAATGAAGTATTAAAAGGATGGTTTTTCCAATGGCACCATTTTTATTTTAACTACCTTTTCTCTTTGGCAATGTTTATTATTTTAAAAAGTTATGATTAAAATTATAATAAAACCTAAACATATGAAAGTGAATTTATACATTTTCTTTGTTCTCATCAAAATGTTTTAAAAGTAATACAAGTAAAATAAAAGTATTAAAAAGTAAAAAATATAACCATAAAAGAAACCAGGGCAAACATTGATCTTTGTGCCTGCAAAAAACAGTGTCACAAGGACAGTTTTCCCATGACACTAATTTTTATTTTAACTACCTTCACATTTCAGCAATGTTTATTATTTTAAAATACAATGATTAGAATTGTAATAAAACATAAACATATTATGAAAGTGAATTTATATAACAAAAATACTATTTATTTATTAGATTATTTATTTACACTATTTATTATTCTTTGGAATGGTTGGCAAAAACATCAGCTCATTGCCAATTAATTCAAACTTTATAAAATGGTAAATAATATTAATAAGGATTTACTTATAGTTGGTTCACATATTTAATAATTTAGCAAATGTTTATCAATTTATGAATAAAAAATTGTTTTCAAATTTATTTCTTTACAAATTGGTAAATGATAACTATTGCATTAGTTTTAATTGTATTAGTTTTTAGAATATTGTAAATATGAAATTAATCTTGTAAGTAATCTAGTGTTTAATATTTTTGTTGTAAATTCTCAAAAACAAAAATTGTATAAATTGCAAATATTATGAGGAAGATTGTACCAAGTAACCTTGCTAGTCTGCTGAACTCACATTAAAAAAAAAAATTCAACAAACTGTACATCTATTTGTTTTATCATTTTCATGATAACTTTTACTGAGATTTGATAGCATATATAATTCTTATGCACGTACTCGATTTGCAACCTTTCGTCATATTTCTAACCAAAAGGCAAAGGTATCCTAGCTTACAAAGCCAAACATTTTTATATGCTTCATCTTTCTTTGATCTTTCATGCTTTTTTTTTTTTTTTTTTTTTTTAATCACAGCTCTCAGATGGTTGTTCTCAACTTTCAGGTTAAGAGCAAAGATTGGAAATAAAGAACAAGCCTCTGGCAAGATTTGAACTCATATAGCCGTCATCTTGAAGCCAAAGAAATAAGATAAAAGAAAGATGAGATAAAACATTAATGATAAATTCTTCAGCAAAGCTTATTACATCCATTTTTTTATTTAACAAATATATAAAATGCATTTCCATGTCTGTGTTTTGAAAATCTCAAATGTTGTCAGCTGATTTTTTTTTTTTTTTTATGAAACTTCATTGAATTGTACTTGATGACCTGAAAAATCTTTTTCCATCTCCTCACTTCAATGACTCAGATGCCTCAGATTGGGGTAATGTTTAGTTGACTATACCAAAAATGGAGTATTGCTGTCCTATCTGGGCTGGAGTTACACAAAACTCACTTTCTAAGTGTTCAGAGCTATTTACATGGCCTTGTGGGGATGACATATTTTCCACACTTCAGCCTCTATCCCACAGATGCAATCTTGTATGCCTGTTGTTACTCTATTGCTATTTCCATGGCAATTGTTCAGACGAGCTCCATACTTTAGCGCCAACACCAGACCTTTACCTCTAAGCCTTGCGACCCATATCCCCAGAGTCAAACCACCATCACTCCAACTGTAAGGAGAATGTTCCATTAAGACAGATTTTTCCAAAGAGCCACTGTTTTGTGGAACAGATCTGCATAGATTTGCGTGCAGAGGGTGTGACGGCCACAGGCATCCATATTGGGAGGGCATCCAATCAAAGACTGAAATTAAAATTTTGTTTTTGAAATTTGAAATTGTCTCTGTTAACTTTGTTGTACAAGTGCTCTACATTTGCACAAACTGGTATGAATGTGGATTTATGTAGGCCCTGCTGCTACTTGAATCTTAGGGGCATACAATGAAGGGTTTGGCCCTAGGCATTACCAAACCTCTCCATATCACTGGTCTATCCTTATCTATCCTTTGTATTCTTATAATATTCATTCCCTATTTCTTACTCATCCAGAAATCATTTACTTTGATCGGCTCTTGAGCTTTGTATTGGATGAACATGACTGTAAAACACACACACACACACACACACACACACACACACACACACACACACACACACAACAAGGATTGATATGTTGTAAAGTCAACCAACCAAAAATGGCTGTATCAATATCCCAGCTAACAAAATGATGCTGCCAAAATGTTTTTGCAGTGTTACATCCAGGTTGAAAAAAAAAGTTTTTTGAGTATTAATATTTTAAACTGATATATTAAATTAAATGTACAAGAATTTGGATCAAAGATATTACCTCAGACAAGATTTGATCTTGCATTGTGGACTGAGGAAATTTAGGTCACCCATTTACTCATATGCTGTTTTGATTCCCAAAACAGCTGAGGTTAGGTTTGTTTTACCACTCCGCCTTTTTTTCCCATTTTTTTTTTTCCTGAATATTTAAGTATTTCACTTTGATGCTATTACCCAAGGGAGATAATCCAATATTAGTCAACCTTATTGGATGAAGTGGTGACAAGGAAGAATTAAAATATAATAATAATAATAATTGTTGATTGATTTGTTTTTATGATTTATCAGCCTTTTGTTGGTTATTTAAAATGGAAGCATATTTAGGTTTCTAAGAATTTTTTTTTTGTGCAAGGGAATATTGCAGTGGCAATTCTTTCAGAGTAACAATGAGTTTTCCAGAAACAATTCCTGCTATTCAACCCATTATTGGAAGGCGGAGTTGAATTCATACCCTTTTCTAAGGATATCTGTGCATAATTGAGTGTAATGAATCTGACTGAAATTTGAACCCTGCTCTCTGATTTCTCATTCCAAACTGTTATCCTTTACACCACCTGCACATCCTTAATAATAATGAAACACACACAAAGAAAAATGTCTGTGACATGACCTTATAAGCTTGCATAACTTTTATCAGACGAATGATTTCTGATCAATAATCAGTATTGATAGATGTGGAAAGGAAAGAGAATATATGTTACAAAGTAAACTTTTTTTGTGCCTCTCAGATTTCCAACATTTACAATAATTTTTTCCCTTTTATTCCTACTTCATGTAAAAGAGAGAATCTGATATAATTTTAATATATTATTAGTACTTACAAAATAACAACGATAGTAATAATAATGATCATCTAGTTGGTCTTCTGGAAATTCCATAGTGCTTTTTTAACAATTTAGTTATATTGTGCAAAGTAATTTATATATTTGGTGTCTGTATAAAAGTTTCCAGTGGACCCCCCCCCCAAAAAAAAAACCCCCACTTTTCAGCTCTTGCTGGGAACTATTGCATATGCCTCCATGTATTAATTTTATTCTAATAATTTATAATATTATCCCAGGTTTGATTGGTTTTTCAGGTTGAGTGACAATCATAGTTTTGCAAGTTGGGCACCTTGATGTGATGTAATGGCTAGCACAATCACAACTGTGTGGTGAGTTCGATTCTTACTGGGTGCCCTGTACTTTTGGCCTTGTGCTACATCTAAGCTACACTTAGAAAATCACCATAGTTTAGCAAGTTGTTTTTTAGGTGTTATTGCAAGCCCCACCTACTATTTTCTTTTCTTTTTTTTTCTTTTTCCTCCATAACCATTCAGGAGTAAATTCAGAGTTATCTTTCTTTTACATTGATTGCCAAGCAAGGTTAGAAAACCCAGTCTACTCTATTATTTCTACCCACACCTGGTTTGGGAGAAAAGATATATTCATGCCTTTTCTATGAGTAGTAAAAAGTGAACACAAACTGAGCAGTAATTTGAATTCATCTTACTAATTTAATTTTCTATCTTGCTAACCATCCTACATTATCCTTATCTTAGTTTCTGTATTACACAAATATTCTAATGGGTTCTATAGCCTTAGGTGGTAACCAGTCTAGGAGAAGGAAACAGAATTCAAAACCGGCCTGGAGAGTGTTGGGCTCTGTCAGGCTATCTTGCCAAAGAAACACCACTTCTACTGCAGCGGATTTGTCATTGCATGCAATCTATATACACACACATGAGGGAAAGTCAAAAATTATCCATGCT